TTAAAAATGAACTTGCAACAACCTGACCATATCCTTTCTATTTTAAATCGTTTTCCAATGAGGCTAGTACCACTTAAAAGAAGCATATAGTCATATCAAAATCCCACTCCCCGAAGTCTAATGGTTCAAATCTCCCCAGTAACCAAAATCCCCAGAGACTTTCATCCAATTTAACAACTATGTCTAATGAGAAATATATTTCTTCAATTATAAAACATCACAATTAGATAACAAATGCTGTTTACTGGAAGAAAAATTCCTGCCATAACAAAGAGGTACATTTACTGATTAAATGTTCTTTTATTCTCTCTTATTTTGAAATATTGGCTAACTGCCAAATAATTCCAGAGAGTTTCAGGAAATTATAAGAGAACATTTTTAACATAAAAACATTTAGCATTCAAATTGCCTGTCTATATAATGGTCTTCTGCTTTTTTGAATTGTAATCATTTATTTAATGTGAACATAACATGAAGTCATCATTAAAAGACCAATAAAACCCAGCCGGCGTGGCTCAGTGGTTGAGCGTCAACCTGTGAATCAAGAGGTAACAGTTAGGTTCCTGGCCAGGGCATGTGCCGGGTTGCGGGCTCAATCCCTGGCGGGTGTCGTGCAGGAGGCAGCCAATCGATGATTCTCTCTCATCATTGATGTTTCTCTCTCTCTCTCTCTCTGAAATCAATAAAAATATATATTTTTTTAAAAGCCAATGAAGCTTAGACAATTCACCTTTTCTACAGACTTTGGAGTCAAACTATATCTGCTTCAACACCACCATCCATAGCTAAGCCCAGCCTAGTGACCACTGTGAAAGCAAAAGTACTCTACAGAAGCAAGAAGATTATGGATAGGCAAAGTGTATTTAAAGAGTATTTGGATCTATGTCCAGAGTTTACAAGAAAACAAATATCAAAAGAGAAATTATTTTTTTTTAAATACTTGAAATTTTATTTTCCAATTAGAGTTTATATTCAATATTATTTTGCATTAATTTCAGGTGTACAGAATAATGGTTAAATGACCATATACTTTATAATGTGTTTCCTCCATATTTCCAGTACCCACCTGCTACCACACAGTTATTACAATATTAATGACTATATTCCCTATGAAAAAATTTGCTTTTATATGTGTTTCTCATTGCACATCTTTTTAGTTGCAGTCTTAAAATATTAGTAAGATTTCAATATCTAACAATACAAAAGTTAAGAAATCTAAAAAGAGGCACACACACAAAGGTGGATCAATAACTCAATAATCAAATACTCCCTTGGCTAAGGAAGGTATGAATCTTGGGGTAGAGTGACCAAAGCCAGCTTAGTCGTTAGCCAATTGGCTAGCTTAGTCCCAGGAAAACACTTATTTCACCAAAGAGAATCTTTGACCTCCGTGGACTATGCCCCATACATCCCTACCAGAGGCCTGCACTGTTCCCAGCTTGCCATTACATAGGTGTCCTCACAGTGAAAAGCACACTTATAAACCTCCGATCCTTTTAGCAGCAGAAACAAGGCACAAGAGTATTTTAAAAGGCCTTTGGGGGAAGGATAAGCAAATCGCTGAAGTACTTGCTTCAGTGGAGAATATAAAACACCCAACTTCCTAGAAGACTAATACAAAAAGGTATCTTTATCATGTTGAAATTCAAAAAAATAAAAAATCACACCTGACATAATTTTGTTACCTTTTGTTTTTAAAGTGTTAATAAATATCCTGCATATATAAATCAAATTGCTGTCACTTAAAACGTTAAAAGCTTTATACCTACATTCTTTAATTCACTGAACTTTTAAAAAATCAATTTTCATTTAATTTTCTCAGCAAATTCCTGGCTTTAAAGAACTGATTCATCTACTAACCCTAGAACTCTGACTTGCTGAGAAAGTTCATGATTCAGACCTACTGTCTGCAAATACACCTGTATTTCAAAAATGGGAAGTAACAGATTAACACTGGGCCTGTGACCACAAGGACTCCCAAGAGCCACAGATCCAAACCTGGAAAGTACTGCTTCAGCTAAAAAGTGACTTTCTAACTAATAAGTCTCCAAGGGCAGAATTTATAGTCAGTTTAGATAGTAAAAACTGTAAGAATTGTAACAAAAGCATTTAGTCAGGGTGAAATGACCAAACTCCAGGTTTACCACCTGTTGTCCTTCAGCTTAATTATTAATATCACCCCCTTTCACTCTCAAAAGGGTCCTGTTTTGAAGCAAAACTCATCAGTGGAGATAGAAGTCAGGGTGGTTGCCTTGGAGACCCAGGAAGGGTTTACTGAATGGGGGGAAGTGTAAAGGGAGCACTTTGGGAGGCTGGAAATGTTTACACCTTGATCTGAGTATGGTTATCATATGTAAAAAGTAAGTGAACTGGACTCTGGACTCTTTTTTTTTAATGTTTTTATTGGGTTTTGTTTTGTTTTGTTTTTTTGAGAGAGAGAGGAAGGGAGAATAGAGAGAGAAACATCGATGGGATTGGCTGTCTCCTGCACGCCCCCTGTTGGGGACCCAGCCCGAAGCCCCAGGAATGGAACCAGCGACCTCTTGGTTCATGGATGGACACTCAACCACTGAGCCTCACCAGCCAGGCTGTACTCTTAACAATCTTATTGTAAATTAGACCTCAATTTAAAAATTGAGATAATTTAAAAAACAGACTGAAATACATTTTTAAGTGTCTTTGTTCAAACAATGACATAAAATCACCCAAGACATAGCTGCCCAGATGTTTTTCCAAATGTATTTTAATAAAGATGCATACTGTGTGTGAACACTTTTATGTAGAACCTTCCAAAATATAGACTGATTTTTTCATCTTTCATTTTAGCTGAGTTTTAGAACTGAAAGCACACAGAAATATAACCTACCCATCCTCTAATTTTGCAAATAAGGAAACCCGTATCTATAAAGGGTAAGAGACTACCCAAGATAAGGCAGCCAGTCAATGGCAACGATAGTAACAGAACTGTTTCCTGATTCGGGGCCACTCCCGTTTCCACCAGGCCGTTACTTTTCTGACACTGTAAACAAATCTGAACTGAATCTACCTGTCGCCTAGAGGATTTCACAGCTCTCTCAAAACACGGGGCCAGCAGGCCCCAAAGTACACACACACAGGCGCACTCATCTTCCTCCTCCCAAGGCAGCTGGTAAATACACAACTACATTTTCAGGCACTTTAATTCCGATGCAAAGTATGACACCTTTCACATGCAGCTCAACAAGACAATGCAGGGACTGACAAAGTCCACCTTATTTCCTTTCAAATCTCGTTGATGGTTACTTGGTTCTCAAACTTCATCGCTGGTATGTAGGGCTCAAGAAACATGGCTTGGGCGGTTCACAAGCACGGCTGTCAGTGTCGACCCCGGGGGATCACCCCACTGAACACAAAAACCCTGCTGTCTCTGGCAGGACGGCCTTGCCCACTCCCAGCACCTTACAAGACCTGTGCTTTACGCTTAGTTTTAGACCCCAGCGAACAGCTGACATCTTGCGAAAAACTTAACATAACCTCCATCCTTTCCGCGGGAATTTATTTCTGTTCTCAGAAGGCGTTTCTGCTCCCCACAGAGCAGGCCTAGCTTCTCGGGGCACTGATCGCCTCTCCTCAGCCTCCTTTTCAGTCTCCAAAGCGAGACTTCAAGAACAGAAATCGAAACGGTCACGGACTCCCGAGTGGCCGGTCGGGGCCCGGGCCCC